ATGCTAGGTTTCGTCAAAGGAAAATAAAATTGTTAAAAGTGAAGCGCTGCCCGAGTTTGGAATCATCACTTTAACAAGTGAGTGCATAGTTACTTTCATCTTACACATAGATATGAAGTATTTTATATAAATTACGTGCTATGTGTGCATATAACCTGTATACTTGCTATCTATGCTGGATGAATGATTTTATACATTTTTTAAATAATTTAAACTGTATATGTATTTTATATCTACGAATATGTTGGGTAAAACATGGGTAGATGAATGATGAGAGATGAAAGATGATATGAGTGAACATTGGCAGCTATAGACTTAGTGCCTAATAAATAACATCGGCAACTATGGACTTAATGCCTATTGGATAAACGATGGTAGCTATGGACTTAGTACCTGTTAGATAAATGTTGGTAGCTATGGACTTAGTACCTATTAGATAAACACTGGTAGCTATGGATTTAGTACCCGATAAAAGAACTTTAGCAGCTATGGAATTAGTGCTTTACGAACGAGCATTGGCAGCTATGGACTTAGTGCCTGTCATATAAACCCTGGAAGCAATGGACTTCGGAATGAACAAATGTAGGATAGATGATTCTTAGGGTAGACCCTTTAGAGTAAAGAAGATAATGGGGATGGGTAATTGGGTTGATTGTTTGATGTTTAAACATAATAATTATATTATTGTGGGTTGAAAACCCTATGTGCTCACCAGGTTTCCCAACCTGACCCACTCAAGTTTATTTGTATCACATGTGTCAATATGAAGCCACTTTACACTGAGAGATTAAGGAGATGTAGATCACTAGTATAAATGAATGTAAGGTCTGTTTATGCTTATGTTTCTGTATTGACGATGACATCCCAATGTTTTAAAATGAATAAAATACATTTCTTCGGAAATGTTTTGATAACGTATTTATCATGTTTTTCTGGGAACAAATTCCGCAACATATTTCCTTAAAAGATACTCTGATTTTCAAAATAAAGCATAAACAAATCGGTATTTTCTGGCCGTGAAAATGGGGATGTCACACTAATTTTCTTATGAATAAATTGTCTCACACCTTAATTAATGTTGAACTTGATTTCCCAAAAAAAATAACTCAACAAGTGATTTTCCATAAAATATCTAATTTTAATCATCGTTACTTATGTAATAGCCCAAAATTTTCAGAAAATTTAACTTTTATAATCATAAATACCAACCACAATTGTTTCCAAAAATATCATTACATGACCATAGTATTTTAAAAGATCAGAGTATAAAACTAAATGCTAAAGTACTGGAGAATGCACGCCGCGCCATTAAGCCGGGCCCTTGCCCTTAGAACCAAAAGTACCTGAAACATTCAATAAAACTGTTAGCACAAGCTTAGTGAGTTTCCCAAAACACATGAATCATATAATCACATAATGTCATGCACACATACGAATAAGTTTGCCACAGACTCCCTCCATGGTCTTCATTTGGAATGCCATGGGCTACCCCCATGGTCTTGTATCCCCGAGCCATGGGCTCCTCCCATGGTATTTTCATGTGCAATGAGCTCCTCCCATGGTCTTCACATAAATACACATATAGATCAAACAGCAAACAATTACATACTCAATTACTAATCATCTCATATCAATTAATGGGCCGACCTTGGTGCCTTCGACCCATGAGTGTAGTGAGAAGATTCGCCTTAATCTGCTGAACACAAAAGCTGCTCGCCTAACAGTTTGAAACCACTTGCTGAACAATGATACAATTAACCCTAAATTAGGATTATACACAACCTAATCAAAGAGTCTAAACACTTAAGCCTAAGTCCTTCCATAATGGCCCAAAAGTCTCACCTTTGCTAATGGGCCTAAGGTCTATGATAAAGGCCATTAATGGGCCACACGGCCCAATAAGACCCAACCAAAACAATTATGGCCCGAAACAGAATATTAGCCCAAAACTCTAAATGGGACTAAGTCCAAAACTGAATAAGGCCCAAAAGCTTCCAAGCCCACACAAAGTCCAAACCCAACTGGAGTGCATAAGCCCAGTGTACCACTCCAGTACGCTCAACGTACTATCCCCTTAAGCAGTACGCGCTGCGTATACGAAATTACGCATGGCGTACAAGCAGGACATGCAACATTTGACCATTAAGTGCTTAATACTTGGGATTTCAACGTCAAACTTTAGATTTGGGTCCATTAAGATGTCCTAGGGCATAAAGTTGGCAACTTTATGCCCTTGCATGCCATGAGTGACCCCAATACTTCATTCTTCTCATTAAGACCTCATTTAAGACCTCTAACTTATGCATGGAGTCAAAACAACCTTCAAAATAACATCTTTATGCATCAAACATGCTCAAGGAGCTTAGATCTAGCAATTCTAATCTCTGGAGTTGCTCAACTCACAAGAGAAGGTCCAAAAGCCAAAAATGGACTCCATAACAAAACCCTAGCTCAAACAATCAAAATAAATGACAAGGTCATGACTTTATACCTCCAGAAGTTCTTCAAGATGAACTAGATGCAGGATCTAGAAGCTCAATGACACCCAAAGCTTGATCACCACCTTCTGCTTCTTGAATGCTCTCTAAAATGGCCACCAACACACTTTCTAAGCTCAAGAATCACACTCACAAGGAAATCTGAGGTTGAGGGACGAAATGAGGCTATGGAGGCTGATTAGGGTTTGATCCAAAAGACTTTAAGGACGTTTATATAGGTCTCAATCCCGAAAATTAGGATTTTGGTCTTCAGTCGCGTACGCCTCGCGCTCCCTTGGTACGCCCAACGTACATGACTAGCCTCCGCGATCACCCATCCATTAGCATGCTAAGCGTACTCCTCAAGTACGCCCAGTGTATGAAAGGACCAATTTGCCATAAATTTTCATACTAAGGGTAAGAAGTGTAAATACCTGGATCCCGACCGTTACAACTTAACAATTCATATTGAAATACAATAATTAAAGTCACAAACACATGCTTAACATGGAAAAGAACATACTCAAAGGCAAATTATATCAACGAGCATCTTTAAATTATATTTATTTTAGATGATATTTTTTAATTTGATCATTGGTATTAAAATTATACTTGTTTTTAGATGTTTTTTAACTTACATTTGATATTTGGTATTAAAATTATAATTGCTTTGGATATTATTGACAACCCGACTCGACATCCAATCTTTTTCTACTATTTTATTTTGTCACTACGATTAAATTGGACATATGTAATTTTGAATCATATATTCTTCTTTATTAGCCTTGATGAACAAATGTGCATCAGATACCATCATAAATTTGAGTTTCTAAGAACCTTGTGAATATGATTAGGAAATAAGGATTCCCTTGTATCTATTTAAGGATCTAAGCTGAATGATATTATATCAGTTCAATTTTATATTGTTTCATCAGAAACAATGACTAATAAATAGGTTTGAAGTACGAGTGTTTTCAGATGCAATCCAAGAGCAAAAACCATGCATGGTTGCTTTTATTTTAGAAACAAGTTTGTTCCAAGTAACATAAGACTGTATAGACAATGATGTACATTATTTTTCATAGGTCAACTAGACTCGATCTTGTTACTCAAGTAATGACTTTGAGGAAAAATTCCTCTTGGATAACATGCAAAGCTGTTGTTAAAATATTAGTGTCATATTTAGATAAGTCGTTTATCAAAATATGACAAGACATCTTTGGAGGACTTTTGAGGGAAACGTAAAGCGAGAACGGTTTATTGGTGCATGAAAATAACTCGAGAAGTCTAAATATCAAAATGATGTGTACGAGCTTCAATGGAAGCATGCATCAAAATGTTATTCTTTTATACCAAGAGGCCAAGCAAGTTTGAATCTCAAACATAGAAGAATAGTTACATGATTATTAGAGTTAGTGGGGCAATGGTGGTGACCTAGATCTAATATTTGATATTGATTATAAAAGCTATTATAACTAAAAACACACTACTATAACTAGAATGTCAACATAATATTTAGAAACACACTGCTATAACTAGATGAGGACATAGTGTCAGAATCAAAGTTTATAATATACATAAACATATACAAAAGAGTATGTTGAGACTAATGTTACATAGGTCGTTACACATTCCCAGGCAGTCAAATAGCGAGCAGTAAATACTCGGTCTAGACAGAGAATACTTGAATTGAGTAAATTATAAGAAATTAATTTTGGGAAAACTATACATATAATAAATATCACAAGTTTATTAAAATTTATAACAAAATAGATGAATATCAATAAAAATTATAGATTTAAAAAAAAAGTCAAAATTTCTGATTTTGACCAATTTGACCTACTTTTTCCGAGTTGGACCTATTTTTTCCAAGTTTGACCGAGTAACAACAAGGTTGACCGAGTTCTATTATTTTTGGCCGATTCCTAACAAAACGCATCGGGACATGTTCAAGTATTCGGTCGACTAAGCCGATTTTTGCAACACTAATCGGAACAAAATACACACAGTTAATCTTGAAAGATGTTCATTATACATGGTTTTCTTTGAAATCATATCAACGTGAAATACCATTTCAGAACCACATCTGATTATCGTTATTATAATATGAATTTAAATAATAGATCTTTAATATATTAATTGTACTTTTTTTTCTAATTTATTAGTTTTAAGGCCTAAAATTAATAAATGACACATAACCTCCAAACTTTTAAGGTTAGACCAGCTTGTTTTATGTGATATAAAAGTATCTACACTGAGAATTTTTACAAAAAACTTATTAGATTAAAAAAAAAATCTATTATGAACACTAGTGAATATTTGTTATGTATCTGATTTGTTGTTACGAGATAAATCATTAAAAAGATCTTCTATTGTGTAATGTGTAGTGTATATCTAAATTGGGAGTTAGCATAATGTACGGGATACGTTTGGTAATTTACCTAAGTGTGGCATCTAAAACGAAAATATCTCCAAACGTGACGTGTATATTTTGTTAGCCTCTTGTTCGGTCATTCGGTGGAAGGTTGGTTTGGGTTCTTCTTCTTCAATTTTCCTTGATATATATCTTCACCGCTTCTGTTTCTAGGGTGGCATTTTCAGAGAGAAAAGTTGTAGAGAGCGAGAGAAAAATACCTCTCGCATTGCATTGCTTTGCTTGATTGATCCATCGATCTATGCTATCGGCGAAATTTAGCCGTTGCCGGTTTGATTTCCTCCGTCCGACTTAGATTATGAGCTGGTTTGACAAACTCCGGGGTTCTAATTGTAGCCGCTTTATTGCCGGCCTTTTGATTTTCATTCTCTATCATTCGTTTCAATTAGTCTCTAATTTCCCTAATCCTATACACCCTTCAATTTCGATTTAAGCTTACATCCCTTCTCTTGTTTTGATTCGTCTCCTTCCATAAATCGTCGGAACCGCGCTTTAGTGTTTCTTTCTCGATCTTTGTTTTTTCTTGATTTAGTCCTCGATGGAGTTCAAAGATTCGATTTCTGGTAAATCTTATGCCCTCATTTTACGATTACTGGTTTTATTTGCGTATATTACATGGATGTATGTATTCATATGAAAAATTGATCGTTTACTAAAATAATTTTTAATACTTGATGGTATTATTCTTTGATCCATGTGCTGAATGACCGTAATCATTGCAGAATGTGTAGATGTAGTATTATTTTATTCGTATGCCATCGAGAATTTAATCGTTAAATTGATTTTTTTCTTTAATGTTTAATTTTAATGTTGTTCGCTTACTCTGATGGGAGTTTAGTACAATGTAGAATGGTTGCTTAATAATTCTAATTATGATTACTAAGAATGATATGAAATTTCATACTTTAAAACATGTTTGGTGCATTACTTCTTTAGCTATGATTTTGAAAACACTTTTAGTCACTACTTTAGAGAACACTATATATTTCTGCAGGAAAGGCTATTTCACATGAAAGATTCCTAGAAAACGTGTAAAAAGCAACATATTATTCTCTTTATATTCCCCATGATGTGATTATAGATGAAAGTTAAAACTTAAAAGTATGTAGGCTTTTATGCCAATCTTGAATATGAACACTACAAGGTTTAAAATTTCAAAGTCAAGCGAGGACCATAGTTGTACATATTATTTGAATTTTGGGTGAAGAGGGTATGTCATGTCTCATGATTGCAATATCTTTTCTTTAAAGTCTAGTTGAAGGTTAAAAAGGATGTATGCTTTTATGCTAATCTCTATTTCATCTTCTTTGTAGGCGCTTTTGCATCGTGTATTGAGAGACAACAGACTTCCAAACCTTCTGTTATTGTGATAGGAAGTGGTATATCGGGGATAGCTGCTGCTCATGTTCTTAACAATGCTGATTTTGAGGTGATATTCTTATAAAATATTAAACTTTTCATCTTTGGCTTTATTTTTCTTTTCATTCTATTAATGAAAATGGTATCATACAGGTGGTGTTATTGGAATCACGTGACAGAATTGGTGGTCGCATTCACACTGATTACTCATTTGGTTGTCCAGTTGACATGGGAGCATCATGGCAAGTTTCTAATGTCCCTTTCTTTCCCTAATTCCATGCTTTTCAATTCTCAATTAAACATATTTTCTTCATCTTGTGTATATAATAGTTTGGAAAAGGGGTAAATGCAACAGATGGCAATGAACTTTGAATTATGTGTATACTTTCACTTCTTTCTATTAAAACATTGTACTTTCAACTTTTTTTCTTATCTAGTCAATTGTTTTTTGAAAATTCTTCCTGATTATATATAGCATTGTACTTTCAGTTTTTTTTTTCTTATTAGGACATTATACTCTGAAAAATCTATCCAATTATAGCAGTGCATATTACTTTGTATCTAGATGACATATCTATAATTGGGTAGTTTTTCGAAGCACAGTGCTCTAATAGGTATAAATTAAAGTATAATTCTATTATGAAAAAAAAAATAAAGGAAGTAGGTTGCTATATCTTGTATTTAACCTGCTTAGAAAGAAGATACATATATGAGTTCATGTATGCAGAGTGTGAGGTTTGATGTGAATTATTTTTCAGGTTACATGGTGTCTGCAATGAAAATCCATTGGCCCCACTGATACGTCATTTAGGGCTTGCATTATATCGGACAAGTGGTGACAACTCAGTGTTATATGACCATGATTTGGAGAGGTAATTTCTTTCTCTTTATGCTTTTTCTGTTTTCATATTATCTTCTTTAGACAAGGATATATATATTTCTAGTAATATATTTTCATCAGGAAATCATATTTTGGTGAAGTTTGTGTTTACTAATCTAAGATTAAGTCAGAGTTCAATTCAAGACAAATGTAGTCCTTTTGATGGATGTGTTTTGGACTTTTGGGTTAAATATTTAAAATGTTGAGTAGTCTAACATTTAAACCAGTAGTTAAGTTTTTTAGTTTACACCATCTGTAAAAGGGTTTCTTTTAATTTAATCATCTTAAATCAGATAGTAATATGATGATTTTGTTTGTGCAGTTACATGCTTTTTGACAGGGAAGGTCATCAAGTTCCTCAACAGATTGTCATTGAAGTTGGAGAAGCATTCAAGAAAATTCTCAAGGAGGTAATAATACTTTGTTTTGAAAAATCTTGCTTTTGTAGTTTTGTTATTATGATGTTACTTACTGAAAGATGACTTCTTTGATAGACTGAAAAAGTCAGGGATGAGAATCAACATGATCTTTCGGTTCTCCAGGCTATATCAGTAGTATTGGAAAGACATCCAGAATTAAGGTATATATATATATTTATCATCATATAAATTAGGCCTAAATAAATGCAAGAAATAGCAGTCTACTTCCATTTATATGTTTACTATAGCATCACATGTCTTTAAATATTAACAACATGTCTTTCTTTAACTTGTTGCAGACAAGAGGGACTTGCTTATGAAGTGTTGCAGTGGTACATCTGTAGAATGGAAGCTTGGTTTGCTGCAGATTTAGACATGATTTCTCTAAAGAACTGGGATGAGGTGAGTTGTTGAAAGTATAAAAAAAAAAGTAGACATTTTTGTTTTAAAAAAAAGTTCCACTTTTTTTTATTATATTATTACATGGACTAAATGCAATTTCGTTGATATGCAGGAACATGTCCTCACTGGTGGGCATGGGCTTATGGTGGAAGGTTATTATCCCGTGCTCAAGGCCCTATCAAAAGATATTGATATCCGTTTAAATCACAGGTTTATTCTTGTTCCCAAACTATATTATATAATAATCCACTAATATTATAAAAACATTCTGTTTTTTTCCAACAACTATGATTTCATGATTCTATATCATAAGCTGTTAGTATATAATACTTGATATTTGAAGATTAAATTGCAATGTGTTGTTGTGCAAAACTTTTCATATCCCATATGTTTGATTTGATTAGGGTTACAAGGATATGGAACGGGCCCACAGACGTGATGGTGACAGTTGATGGTGGAAGTACATTTGTTGCAGATGCGGTGATTGTGACAGTTCCTATAGGGGTATTAAAGGCAAACTTAATTGAATTTGAGCCAAAGTTACCAGATTGGAAGGTTTCTGCTATATCAGATCTTGGAATGGGGAATGAAAATAAGATCGCCTTATGTTTTGATCATGTGTTTTGGCCAAATGTTGAATTATTGGGTACAGTTGCCCCAACATCGTATTCCTGTGGGTATTTTCTTAATCTACACAAAGCAACTGGCAACCCTGTTCTTGTTTATATGGCTGCTGGGAGATTCGCTTATGATCTTGAGAAGCTCTCAGAGGAAGATGCTGCCAAGTTTGCAATGGTGCAGCTTAAGAAAATGTTTCCAGAAGCAACCGAGCCTGTAAGTCTCTTGTTTTTTTTTTTTTTTTTTTTTTTTTTTAATAAAAATTGACAAATTGATTTATAGTTAGGTTGTGTTTGGCGCACCGAAGTTAGCTGATAATTGATTTATAGTTAGGTTGTGTTTGGCGCACCACAGTTAGCTGATAAGCTAGCTTATTTTTTGAGTTTTTTTTTAACCAAAAAGTAGCTTATAAGCTAATTTTTTAAAAAGCTACTTAAACTATGTTTGACATAATAGATGAAAAGCTAGTTGTTAAATAAAAAAGTTGGTAGCTGAAAAGCTAGCTGATAAAAAATAACGTTTGGTAAAACTAACTGAAAAGCTAGCTGAAAGACATAAAAGGACATTCAAAAGAATTTGTTTCTATAATTAATTAAGGGATATAAGCTACTTTTTGGCTTGCCAAACATGACAATTTAAAAAAGCTTGAAAAATCAGCTAGCTGTGGCACCGCCAAATACAAAACCTTAGACTAGCTTTTCAGGAGCTTATTTAAATTTTTTCAAATATACTCCTTAATGAATTATAGAAAACACATTTTTTAAAATGTTTTTTTATGTCATTCTATATCTTTCAGCATATCATCTAGTCTTACCAAAAGTCAATTTTTTATTAGCTAGCACGCCAAACATAGCCTTAGAGTTACTGTAATAGAAATAAATGGAAAGTATATTGGTATTATTTAGAGATTTTAGAAGAATTTTGATTACTACAGGTTCAATATCTGGTATCGCGTTGGGGAACGGACCCAAACTCCCTGGGATGCTACTCGTATGACGTGGTGGGGAAGCCGACAGATATATACGAAAGGCTTCGTGCTCCGTTGGGTAATCTGTTTTTCGGAGGTGAAGCGGTTAGCATGGAAAACCAGGGATCTGTTCATGGAGCTTACTCATCTGGAGTCACGGCTGCTGAGAAATGCAGAAAGCTTGTCATGGAGAGACGTGGTTTTTTGGAGAAGTTCCAAATTGCGTCTTTTAGCACTGCCATTCTTGAAGCCGCCTTTCCCCTACAAATATCCAGGATGTGAGAAACGGAAAACACTCTTGAATCTTGATGTTGAAAACCGTTATGTTATGTTATGTTTCATTTTTTTTGTATGACTTGGAACGTTTAAGACTTCTTTTTAAATAAATTTGGTTCGAATAGGAGTTCAACTAAGCCTTTAGTTGTTTTTGAAAAATTTATGTTTTTATGTCTTTAAAATTTACATGACTTGAATTATAATTTTATATTACAATAATCAAATTATAAATCAAGTAAAACTGAATTGTTGTGGCAAGAGTTTGAACAACACTTTTTGTAAAATTGACTAAGATAGGATGTGTGTGCTACTTTCTGTTTGTGCCACACACATAAAAATAGACATGTGTTGTAACATTGTATTTGGAAAATCCCACTAACTATAACAATACATAATTTACAGTAGAATTTTGAATACGTATAAATAAAAATGCATATTGGTATGTGGAAATGAATATTTAAAAGAAACTATATATATATTTTCAGAGCCTACATGAAAATGAATATGTAAAAAAATAGAAAACAAATTTGAAAAAGCTTTTAAAAAAAATCACTCCTGTAAAATTGAATTTGCAAAAACAGTTGTGAAAAAGATGTAAAAGAAGTTGAAATTTGATAAAAAAAAAAACAATCTAAGTTTTAGGAATATAAGAAAAAAAAATGGAAGTACTTTAAAAACAGTTTGGATCAAATTTGAAAAATAAAATAAAAAACGCTAAAGTTGGTCTTGATCCTACTACTCTGAAGATCCCTAAAATGGAAAAGCTGAAGTGATTTGAAGCAACCTGTCAATGATTTACGCTTCATGTTAAAGACTTTTACATGTATTTTCTGATTTAATAATTGTGTGTCACATTTTTGTATTTTTGGTTTATGAATATGTTGGTGAAGTCTTGGTTGTTTTTGGAATTCCCGTTTGGTTATTGTTGGTTTTTAGACGATGTTATTCATCTTATTTAAGACAATTTCAAAGTTTTGTTAAATAATTAAATATTATTGTTTCGTGTTATCAAATATTTTGTATCTTCCACTTTCATATGTGAATTTATTTTATAACATTTATTTTTTGTACACTTTAATTTTAAATGATGCACTAGGATATGTCGAATTCCTATAAATTGACTTTAAATCTATAATTCAATATACAGTGTTAATTTATTATTAGTTGAGTCGTTTTTTAAATCTAATTACCGATTTTACCTTTCATCATATAAGACATAAATTATTCATCGTTGCAACAACATACTTTTATCATCTCACAAAGAAATTGATACATATCTGGGTCAAGTTCTTTGCCGCGTATTTTATCATATGTCTTGAATATTTGTAAGTCTATAAATTTTTTCTCCATAACCAATATTTTTTATTACATATCAAGTTTCATATTATTTTATTATCACATACTAAAATTTAATTTTATTTAAATAACTATATATGTTTTGCATATGGTAACAGAATAAAACCTTACAAAATCTATTCCAAAACTATTTTTGTAAATTGCATTAATTCCCTCCGTAATTGTTGACATAAATTAATTCATACATACTTTCAACCCTTATATTGAGTAATTTCCTTTTATATATATATATATATATATATATATATATATATATATATATATATATATATATAGTTAGGTTATTGTGTTCTAACTATCTATTGTATGCATGTAGGATTGATTGTGGACCAATCATTTTAGTTATTTTAAGAAAGTAATTAATGCATATTAAATGTTGAAAATATAATGAATATTAATTAAATATTCAGCATTTAATATGCATTAATTAGTTTCTTAAAATAACTAAAATGATTGGTCCAGAATCAATTCTACATGCACGATAGTAGAAAATTTGAACCTAAGTCTCTCTCTCTCTCTCTCTCTCTCTATATATATATATATATATATATATATATATATATATATATAAGTAGGTTTAAATGTGGATGAACAATTATTGTGTGGATGTAGGGATTAATTTGGACCAATCATTTCAAAAATCTAGATAGGGGTAAAATTGTAATCTTTACTATTAATTAATTTTGGTAAATTTAAATTTATTAATTTATCTTTAAATAAGAAAATCAGTTTCATATCTTTAGCTTACATCCGTTCAGCCAGAACTCACGATTGCCTTGTTCGCCATAAATCCTGAAACCCTAAATCGATGCCATTGCCGATATCTCACTCTGTCAATTAGAATTTGGATTTCGTTTCATCAATCGTCAAGTATCACCGGTTGCCATTGACGGCCAATTAACCCTAGTTGTAGGTATTTTTTTTTTTTTTTTTTTTTTTTTTTTTTTTTGTAGTTTTGATTTCTGTTTGATTCCAATCAATTATGCTGTTTTTATAGAGATAAACACATACGAATTAGAATTAAACATTTTTTTTTTGTTAAAGTTCAAGTAGTTCGTCGGTTGTTAATAAAGAATGGAACCATCTTCTTTTTACTGCGTCACAAAGTATAACAAAAGTTGATATTTAAAGTAAAGAACTACAGCGTTGCTTAATTTATGCTAAATTGAGGTTTATAAAAAATGCTTTCTAAACGTGATTTTTGTGGAGTTTTGTATGGTTTTTACTTTTTGTACTGTAGCTTGCATATTAGATAATAAGAATAATTGATTTTTTATTTGTTTATAGGATTTTAAATGTTTTTAAACAAATGGTGTTTAGATATGAACTATTTTTGAAATCGGTGAACAAATGATTTGACTAAACCGTCGTTTGATGCTAGGCGGTGAATAACGAGTAATGCATGTTATTCTTTTAGAATAGCGAAGACTTAGAATCGAGTTCTGTAGCACCCGATTCCTGGTACGCACTTAATTCAAAGTATTTTTTTTTATGTTTTTCTCTGGGACTCGACGAGTTGGAGGCCCAACTCGTCGAGTAGAGTCGGGACCCGCGGACATTTTAAGTGACCTACTCGACGAGTCGGTAGACTGACTCGGCGAGTAGGTGTTGTTTGAGTAAAACCCTAATCTAAGGGATTGCACCCTATTTAAGCATCTCATTCAGCCACCCTTCGTCCATATTGCTCTCAGAACTCTCCATATCAAACCCTAATCGTTTGTGTAAAGATCTAAGGCCTTTGTGGTGGTTTTGGTGATTTTGGAACATAAGAAGGAAGAGAGAGGCTTGAGGAATCAAGAGGAGGCCAGAGGAGTTCGAGTTTGTGCACCCTCTGCAGTTCTTTAGAGGTATAAAGTTGATACCTTGCTCTTTCATGTGTTAGATCCCTTTTTGGGGTGATTTAGGGCTTTTAGGAGCCATTCTTGGTGACCAATCATGAGTGCAAGCATGGTTGGGGGCTAAGACTTCGGATCCAAGGTCTTTAAGGGGTTACAAGGCAAAAAGGGACTGATTTTGGAGCCTTAGAGAGCCCCATGCATCTTAAGAGTCTCATTTAGGGCCATTTGAGCTCATAGTCCCATGCATGCACATAAAGTTTGTAACTTTACGTGCTATATCGATCTTAGAAGCCTAGATCTATCTTTTGGTCAAGTGTTGTACATCAGAAATCGAGCAATGAGACTTGGTCATTCTCGACTCGGCGAGTCGTTCTTGGGACTCGGCGAGTCCATGGCTTGACTTTCCTTTTCTATTATGGTTCGAAGGAACCCAGTGAGTGTTAGAGTGGTCTTAGAGGGGCCCGGGGGAGTGACCCAACGCATTGGACTTAGCCATAAACCTGGAAATCATAGGACTCGACGAGTGTATGAACAGACTCGGTGAGTCCAAGGCAATCTCCCAACTTTCGAAGATGAACTCGACGAGTTGTTCATACAACTCGGCGAGTCAAGGGCAGGACTTGTTCATAGGATGGAGATGAACTCGACGAATTGTTCATACAACTCGGCGAGTCGGATGAAGGTTCATTCGGGGTTGTTTTAGAAGGAGAACTCGTCGAGTCGTTGCCAAACTCGACGAGTAGAGGCGTGAAGAAGGACTGATGAAAGGATAGGGACTCGACGAGTTGGCGGCCCAACTCGGCGAGTCGGGTCAACTGGAAGTTGACTTTGACTTTGACTTCGACTTGGTCAGGGGGTAAAATAGTCATTTTTCCCTAAGAGTGGTTATTAGTGTCGGATTAAGTGTTTTATGGATTTATAGCCGGAGGATCACCGGAGCAGCAGTCAGACATCTGCCGATCAGCTTTTCAGCAGTCAGCCTTACGAGGTGAGTTACCTTCTGGTAGCGGTGGGTCTATGGCCACAATGCCGACCCACCAGTAAGAGTTGTATGTTAGATGATCGTCTTTGTGATATCATCTAGGTTTGCTACTACCTGATATATTATATGCTGGCATGATATGTTATATGTGATATTAGTAGAGTTCGGTTGTTAGGACCGAAGGGTAGGTCGGACACCCTAGATATGTCTGACAGTATGTTATGATATGCTTATATGCTGGCATGATATGTTATATGTGATAGTGGTAGTAGGAGGGGAATAGTCCCCAAGTTCGGTTGTTAGGACCGAAGGGTAGTTCAGACACCCAAGATATGTCTGATAGTATGTTTATGTTATGATATATGTGATAGTAGCAGTAGGGGGTGGAATAGTCCTCGAGGTTCGTTTGTAGGACCGAAGGGTAGGTCAGCGCCCCAGAATGGCTCGACATGGGTAGGTCAACACCCCAGAATGGCTTGACACGGGTAGGTCGGCACCCCAGAATGGTCGTACCGGGTAGGTCGGGCACCCCAGAATTGCCCGGCAGTATGTATGCTATATGATTGTATGGTATGTGGTAAGATGGGGGGGGGGGGGGGGGGGGGGCTCACTAAGCTTCGTGCTTACAGTTTTCAGTTTTGTTTCAGGTACCTCTTTAGCAAAGGGGAAGGAGCCGGCGCGGTAGCTGCACATCATACACACATTGGATTCCGCCTTATGAGATTTCTTGGGATTGTACTTTGACATTGTTGCTACTTCTATGATACGATTTTCAGACATGCGATTATGGTTTTATGAAATGATATGACATGGTGATGTTTTACGATAAATGTTTTCTAAATCGTTATATAAAAATGGAAATTTTTTGGACTCGGAATTTAGGATGTTACAAGTTGGTATCAGAGCCTTGGTTTGAGGGATTCGGACACACCCTCGGGAGTGTCTGGACTCAAACCGAGGG